TGCTGTAGGGAAGAAGGGCTGATATCCTTTAACTTTTTGAAAGATTGTAGGTAAAGATTTCTTTGGAAACCTAGGAACCACACAGAAGGGGACTTGAATTATACTAAAAATCAAACTCCTTTTTCAGGAAGATCAAGGAACCATAAAAGAGCTTTGCCCAGCCTGGAACACCCCTTTCCTTAGTCCTTATCTGTCTCAATTCTTTCTTGAATGTCTATTGGTATTCACCTTCTCCAGAAAGTTTTTTGGATTGCCTGGCTAACTCAGATCTACATTTGTATAGTTCAAACCCCTAGCACTACAGTTTATAAACAAAAATATCACAAAGGTTGGTTTGCTTGTCCTCAGCATATAGTTAATAGGTGTTTGGTGAATGAAAAAGTTGTCAGTTGGGGCTATTGACCTTCAGAGGGGGAACTGTTATACCTGCTTGCTAATAGTCAGAAACTGTCTAGCGGTAGTAGACATTCTCAATGTCTATTAATTATTTTAATTATTTAAGAGTACCAAGAAAGAAGAGATAAAAGACAGAAAAAAGAAAGGGAAAGGGAAAGGAAAGGAAAGGAGAGGAAAAGAAAGAAAATTTAGTTGAGTAGGGTTGACAAGTCTCTAAAAGCAGGTCATGGTGCAAATTCTTGTGTGCCTGACACAGAAAAAATAAGTAGCTTACTATTGACCAATGGTAATTTCATTCTTAAATTAAGACATAGGCAATGAAACGTAGACCACGACCATATTTTCTCTCTCTGAGTTCTACATGCATGAAATGAATCTTTGAGGGACATTCCACCGGGCCAAAGTCTAGGCTGAAAGATCTTTTAAAAGGTATAAAAATGAGAACTATTTTAATTTTTAAAAAATTAAGAATAGGCTGCAAGAAGTTATAGCAGAGAAAAGGTAAAGAATTATATCCTAAAGTATGAATCACATGTGTCTTGAGTTTATGCATTTTTAAAGTTTAATCCCTGAATTAAACTAGAATTCACCATCTATTAATTTTATTCTAAAATCCCCCTCTAATTTCATAAGCCAGTTTTACAAGCTTTTGGTTTAATTTATAATTGTGTAAGAAAATTGTGGTTCTTCAAATCATATTAAAAACAAATTTAAACCAACCAATCCAAACAACAAAAAGCAAAACGAGAATGTACAGAAAGACATAGAGAAAGAGATTGACAAAAATGGGAAGGCATCTAGAATTCATGTTGCATAGAAACTTGGGCTGGAAAAAGAGGACTGAAATGGAATATGATTGATAACTTCACAAAGTAGGCACAAATTGGAAGTCAACACAGGCTGCCTTCATTTCAATATTGATAACTTTCAAAGCATCAGAGCTGTGCAGCACCAGGCAGAAGGACCTCATGAAGGAAGGCACACTCATTACTGGAAATGTTCAAACAGGGCCTGGGTGACCACCTCTCTGGGTGTTGGAAGGCCAAGACTTTGAGAAGCCATTCGATGAAATTTCTTCTAATTTTTAGATTCTATAGAATGTACTATCCCACAAAGGACATGGGAAAACACCTCTCTATTTCCTTATTCTTTCATTTTCTCATATCAAACCAAATAGAATTGATAAAAATCTATCTTAGAATGAATAACAGAGAGTATTATGACACATTTCCTAAGTAGCTAAAATCTATAATGCTCCAAACAGAATAAATGCTAGGCTCAAATCCCTAAATCAGATGGAGAAAGGAAAATACCCAGGTCTATCTTTTATAACATTTAAAATATTATATTTGATATAGTGCTGATTTTCTACCATTTTATTAGCTATAATGGTTATTACAGTTATCAGTTTTAATATGTCTATATATATATATGTTCTAAAAGAAAAGATGAGTTTAAGTGATGCAGGACTTATTAGTTCTGTAGAACATATTAACCATTGCACTATTTTCTCTTTTATACTTATTCAGGAACTAATTGTATATCATACTGAAAAGAAGAAATTATAAGATCTAAAAACAGGCCTAACTGTCCGGAGGCAGAAGGAGATAGGTCCCATGGTGCTGACTTGTACCTTGTTAGGATGGCTCACTAAGTCGTGCTTATGGGGGTGTTTGAAATACATTTTCAATTAATTTAACAGGTGTTTGTGTGCCTTTAAGGGATCGAGGGTAGAAAGGGAAACACACTATGTTATTTTCTCACTAAGAGTCACAGTCAGTGGGAGAAACAGACAGGTGAACCTAGAATTACAGTATGTTAAGACAGACACAATAATAGAAGTACATCAAATTGCTGCAGATCAGAGAGGAGGGGCATGTATTCCGAAAGGAAAGTCAGGAAAGCTTCATGGGAAATGTGAGATCTGAGCTCCAAATTTGGAATAGTGAATTCATGTGGGCTACATGAAGAGGAATGAAAGGATTCCAGCAGTAGAGTGATTCAGAGGTATCAGTCTGATACTGTCAGGTAACTGATGCTGCAAGAAAGTGCTGGACCAGTCACGAAATGGAGAGTGAAGCAGGTGAATGGACAGCTGGGAGCTCAATAAAATGAGTTGTTGGCTGGAAGGGGAGGGCATAAAGGTAGGGTTGAAATAGGACCGTTAAAGGCAAGCCTGATATAAGAGTGGGTTGAAGGGCAGACTGAGAACTAATCTTCAGAATATTACTTTTTTTTTACTTGTATTATATAAAGCTTTCTCTAGTGTGTGGCTTCATGGCTTTATGGGTCATGGAATGTCTTTCAACCAGCATCAGACACCCAGGTGGCAGCCTCAAATAGCACTGCCTGTGTCCTGCTGGAAAAGCCAGATGTTGGCTTGTTGCTTTTTTTGCATGAATTTTATAAAATTGCAGAAAATTCTTGGGAAATGGAACTTTGATTACTCATATTTTTCTGCCCATGGGGAAGATGTGATTTTAGAAGAGATGAAAGATAGGATATACTTGATCATATGTTATTTTTCATGATATATTGTTGATTATATGCAGTAATAAATTTAAAAGTAATAAGGAATCAATGCTTTATTTCCATGAAGAGGGATCTTAGTTGTGATTCCATAAAGGTGGCCGGGTGTTTTTCGGGAGGATTGTGGAGATGGATGGTAGCCTTCTGCTCTTGGTTGTCTTCTTGCCTGGTTGCTCACTATTCCCTTTACTTTTATTTCTGTTTATTTATTTAATTTATAATTGATATATTATGGTTGTACATATTTTTGGGGTAAGTGTAATAATTTGTACATGTACACAGTGTGTATTGATCAAGTCAAGGCAATTGGGATATCCCTTTCAGATTTACTCCAGGGCAGATCCCCTGTGCACATCTAATTGAAGCAGGTGACCTGGATGGCTTTTAGGTTCACCTTAGCCTGACTAAACTTCAGCCTTCTTTCTGATGGCAGCCCCAGATCTCTCTTTTCTTACAGCATTCATTCATTGTAGAAAACTTGCAACTCTTTCTGTGCTCCTTTGAAATGTAAATCTTTGAAAAAGCCTCTTGCCTGTTTTGTAATCCTGAATTGTTTTTCTCAAGGAGCTGAGGGTCCTCCTTTTGAAATGCAATTATCAAGAAAAATAGAGCCCCCATCTTTCTGGCTCTGTGTGGGGATAGGAGCCTAACTTTGATAAGCAAAAATTAGCGAACACAGAGGGCCTAATTGCATTGACCAATTCCCCACAGATGACTCCTGTACTTTTCCACTAGGTCACCTCAGCATTTAAAAGCTCTTCTAACTTTGGTTTCTGCAGAATTGAGTTCAGTCTGTTTCCCTTATTGCCATAATCTTGGCCCCTAATGCAATAGGTGTGGAATAAATCTCCCTTACCTGTTTAACTTGTCCACTGCAACTTTTCTTTGACATACGGTATGCCTAGAATCACACTAAAAGCTGGCCACATAAATCTATGGCCAAAAGAGGGTTCAGTATAAGGTGAAATTGGCCCTAGCAGCATGTGTTCATGCTAGGTGACTGGAGATTTTAAAAACCTAGGTAATGAACATAGTGTCTCCCTCCGAGTTCTGTGTGCACAAGGTGAATCTTTGAGGGATGTTCCACTGGGCCAAAGTCTAGGCCAAAAGATCTTTTAAAAGGCGTAAAAATGAGAACTGTTGGGGCAGAATGATTAGCTGTGTCAACTGAAAGTAAATATAGAATACTGGATGGGACTGAAGGATGGAGATAATTATTCCGCTGCACATTCAAGGAGTTAAGTTGTTGTGTTCTGCACCCCCCCAGAGATAAGATGGAAAATTAAGTCATATATGGAACAAATCTCTTTTTATGATGGTAAAGTTTCTTTGAACTGCTTTTATGCCTTCCAACTAGTGAAGATAATTGGATAGGTTATTCAATGATTCTTATATGACAACTTTACTTGCAAAAACAAAGTGGGTCAAAAATGCAAAGATAGCATTCTGCTTTAATGCAAAGATGGGAAATAACATAAGCAATTATCTGACAAATGGCAGCTGTTTAAACTGCAGGGTACTAAACTGGTATCTTAGCAGGGGTGTCATTATCTATAGGCCATTAAAAGTTTGTTTCTTTATTATTTCATTTTTATTGGCTTTGGTTTTAAAAAGGGAAAGATAAACTCCCCAACTGAAGGCTTTAATACTTTTACTATATAAATGTTGCTCTATTACCAAAAAGATATCTTGTTATTTGATTAAAGTTCTCAAAAGAGTAATCTCAACTTTTTATTATTTCTATTTAGAGATAAAAAAAATACTTGAGTGTGTATTTGTGTAACAGCCAAGTTGAAACTTTTATGTTGACATGATTCTTGCTGAAGTTTATCTTCACAATTCATATAAATTGATGATTGATGAGAAATTTTAATTTTTTAAAGTAAAATTTGGATGCGATTAGCATCTCAGGACAGAACATTCTTCACGGATAGAATTCTGTCTACATGGAAGTGGGCAGATAAATGGGGCAAACTGTGGTGGAATGGCAAAGGAGGTAAGGTTACTTTCCATTGCTCCCGTTTATTTTATTTTTTTCATTAACTCCTAAGCACCATCTCTCTCTTTCATTTCAGGTATTCAGTATCCTGCTAATTGTAATCCGATCTCCCCTGGAGAGAAAATGGTAATTACTTTCAGGTTCATGAATACCAATTGATGCATTTACCTCATTATTTTCTTTGATATGACAGCTACACTAATAGATCAGAACAAAATGTGTCCATGTAGCATCTTGAGTTCATCAAGTCACTTTGCAAGTTATCTCCAATATATTTGGGTTAGCTATAGAAATAGAAGCTAGATGCTGGCACCTGTAGATAGATTAATAATCAAATGTCTGCATTCGTAGAATGACTACTAATGAACTGCTGTCAACAAGAAGAAAAAAGTTTGATCGGTGTAAGAAAAAAGTTTGTAGCTGTGTCGCTTCTCTCTTTACTATGTTCTTAAATGAACACATATGGGCAGTGTGTGGTGGCTCATGCCTGTAATCCCAGCACTTTGGGATGCTGAGGTGAGCAGATCACTCAAGCTCAGGAATTTGAGACCAGCCTGGGCATCATGGCAAAACCCCGTCTCTACAAAAAAATACAGAAAATTAGCTGAGCATGGTGGTGTGTGCCTGTAGTCCCAGCTACTTGGGAGGCTGTGGTCAGAGAATCACCTGAGACTGTGAGGTAAAAGCTGCAATGAGCAGAGATCAAGTCACTGCACTCCAGCCTGGGTGACAGAGTGAGACCACGTTTCAAAAAAAAAAAAAAAAAAAAAAAGGAAAAAGAAAAAAGAAAAAGAAATTAACATACGAGAAATACACTTTTTTTTTGGTATGATGTGCAACCTAGAAGGAAAGTGAGCCTATTGGGCACAGTGGCATCAGGAGCCACTGAAAAATTTGTCAGACTGGGAAATTGTGTTATGCCTAATAATATTACTTTTATTAAGGATGAAAGTAAAATCCTCCACTGGTGAACTCAAATCCCATGAGAGTAGGGACAGACATAGCACAAAGCATGCAAATGGAACTGAGATTTTAACTGAAAATACATTTAATATGAATCATCAGTCAGATATGATCGCTATAGAGACTAGTGCAACTTTGGTTAAATTAATAGAAATGTACTTTAGAGAATGATGGAGGCATTATCCTTGTCTTTTCTGTGTGTCAGGCAACACTTTGCCGACTGCTTTTAGTCCTAAGTGCCACAGTTTAAGGGAAAAGTGCACAAATTGAGGGCAGTTAATGGAAGGAGCTGGGGAAGAAGACGCCATGCTGTAGAACTTTAGGAAGCATTGGAGCTATTTAATTTGATGAAATGAATGTGCCTGTGTGTATCTGTGTGGTTAGAAGCATGAAATGGGTATATTGGAAGAGCTACATATCAAAGGATGGTTACCTGCATTCTATTTAGATCCAACAAATAGAATTAGAAGAATTAGAATTAAAGAGTGCATAGGGCTGGGTGCAGTGGCTCATACCTATAATCCCAGCACTTTAGGACACGGAAGCAGGAGGATCACTGAAGGTGAGACCAGCCTGGGTAACATAGTGAGGCCCCCATCTCTAAAGAAAAAAAAAATGAGGCGGACATGGTGGTACATGCCTGTAGCCCCAGTGACTCAGGAGGCTGAAGTGGGAGGATTGTTTGTGCACAGGACGTTGAGGCTGTAGTGAGCTGTGATCAGGCACTGCACTCCAGCCCGGGCAACAGAGTGAGACCCTGTCTCAAAAACAACAACGACAAAAACAAAAAAACAAAACAAAACAAAACAAAAACAGAATCAAAGAAAGTACTCTAAATGGGGACATTCTTTTGTCTAATAAAATCTTAAGGCCGGGCGTGATGGCTCACTCCTGTAATCTCAGCACTTTGGGAGACCGAGGTGGGTGGATCACCTGAGGTCAGGAGTTCCAGACCAGCCTGACCAATATGGTGAAACCCCATCTCTAGTAAAAATAGTACAATCAGCCGCGCCTGTAGTCCCAGGAGAATTGCCTGAACCTGGGAAGTGGAGGTTGCTGTGAGCCAAGATGGCGTCACTGCACTCCAGCGTGGGTGACAGAATGAGACCATCTCAAAAACAAAACAAAACAAAACAAAACAAAACAAAACAAATGAACAAACAAAACCCCAAAAAACTTCCATAAATTTCCTAGCTGATTTAGGGTAGAACACAGTTCCTTATGCTGGATATGTGAGCACACATCTCCAAGTGATTCCTGTTTACATTTCCAGCTAGATTTGATGCTTTTTTAGTAGACTTTCAAAATCTCTTTTTTAGTAAACTTACTTTTTAAGTAAGTTCTTTTAGTAAACTTTCATAACCTCTTTTCTGAGATGTTTCTTTGCACTTCTGTAAGAAAGTTCATGGCAACAGCTTGTTTAAGAATGTGTCGGGCTGGGGCGCAGTGGCTCACGTCTGTAATCCCAGCACTTTGGGAGGCCGAAGTGGGCGGATCATGAGGTCAGGAGATCGACCATCCTGGATCACACGGTGAAACCCCCTTTCTACTAAAAATACAAAAAAATTAGCTGGGTGAGGTGGCGGGCGCCTGTAGTCCCAGCTACTCAGGAGGCTGAGGCAGGAGAATGGCGTGAACCCAGGAGGCAGAGCTTGCAGTGAGCCGAGATCGCGCCACTGCACTCCACGCCCAGCTTGGGCGACAGTGCCACACTCTGTCTCAAAAAAAAAAAAAAAAAAAAAAATTATTCTATTACTGGAAGTGCTGACTACATATCTTATGTTAAAGTTGCTTAAATGATCACATGATTTTTATTGGTAGTATTTAATTACAAGTTCCATTTGTCTTTTCTTTAATAGCCTCATTCAACCTCTGTCATTACAGTTGTTATTGCTATCATATGACTTGTAAGATAATTCCAAATATGTGGATAGAAAGTAAAAGTTTTAATGAGTCACTAAAAGATCTTTTTGATGGTTCTTTCATGTTTTTGTCTTGACTTGCAACTCTAGAAGCTGCTCACCTTCATGATTTTGTCTGGAATCTGGATGATCTTTTGCCTGGACAATGGTCAACACGCAATTTGGCTTTGAAGAGTCGGGCCCACAATCTCAATTGTGATACAGAGAAGAGCCCACATTTCTACTCAGATTTTTGCTATAAAGATAGACTTCGTATCTAAAATAATAAAGAATTAATTGATACCTCACGTAAGTTGAATCATGCAATCTGTCCTTCTGTGACTGGCTTATTTCACTTAGCATAACTCCCTCTAGGTCCATCTATTTCACCTATATGATGTATCTAAGATACTTAAATGCATAGAAGCTGAAAATAGGATGGTGGTTGCTAGGGGTTGGCAGGAGGGGAAGAAGGGGGAATTGTTGCTCAACAGGTATAAAATTTCATTTATGCAAGATGAATAAGTTCTAGAAATCTTCTGTACAACACAGGGACTATAGGTAACAATATGGTATTAGATACTTAGTAATTTGTTAAGAGGATAAATCTCAAGTTGACTGTTCTTATCACAAAACAAAACAACATAAAAGATAATGACAAAAGCAAAACATAAAAGAATACAAGGAAATTCTGGGAGGTGATGGATGTGTTTAATAACTTGATTTCGGTGATGGTATCTCCGATGCATGACTTGGTCCAAACTGATCAAACTTGCAGTATGATTTTTCTGTATATTAATTATACCTCAATAAAGCTGTTAAAAATTAATTCATGCTGATATAAACTTTAAAAAATTTGAGATGCAATTAAAATGCAAGATTTAAAGAAATGTGAACACTGGTTGAAAATTAGTGAGAAAACATCTAATTCTGCCAGTCATCTCTGTTTCTCATTTATGTCATGCTACTTCTATCTAGGTCAGAGCAAACTCATTCTGAAACTGTCTTGCTTTTAGGTTCTGTCTTTCCAGGACCCATAGCCAGGAGCTGCTTTCCACTTACAGACACAAGTGGCTCGCTCACTCTTCTAGGTGTTAGCTAGCAGGGGCAGAGCTTTCTCAGGTATTTTAGGATTTGTTGTTGGAAGGTCTCTGCTATGTTCCTGAAAATTCATTTTATCCCCTTTTTCCTTTGCAACATAGAAAGAGGAAGAAACAGTTACGTGGATTATTCTGTGTGAATCCTCTTATAATTTTTATCACCACAATCACCAGCTTCCCTGCAGTTTCATTTCACTTTTCTTTTACCTTATTAGTGTGTTATTGTTAATTTAAACATAAAGATATGACTTACTCATTAAACACTGCTCTGCTGGTTCCCCTAGCAATGGTTCTAAAAGGTTTCCAGATCATTTACAAACCTACATCTAATTCAATCTGATTTTAGTTACAGTCCAAGCTTATTATTACATACATTTTAAAGTATATTTAAACATAGCATCATTTGTAGTTTAAAAACAGAGATGTAAAATAACTTTGAAAAGAGGAAACTGAAGCTTTGTAATCATGTAGATACACTACCTGAATGACTTACTGATAATTTCACTTTTTAAGTACCTTTTACTAAAATTAGTCCGTATGTTTTTGTTTGGTTTGTAAGGTGTATAACTGAGTGTCAGATCCTTAAGGGCGCTCAGTCCTCATGGAGTTTATAATTAAGTAAGAGTCAGGTGATCATTTCATTGCCATTAAAATATTCATCAAATATAAATGACATTCTTTAAATTCACCTCTGTTAGACTGACTCACTGAAATCAAACCTTGTCATTCCCTAGGGAACATATTCCAATTTATGGCCAGGATGCTGAATGCTCACAGCTAGTAAATTATTTTTTACTAAGTTGCAGTGAGGCACCTGCTTGCTAAGAATTAGTTGTTGGTTCCCAAACCTATTTATGCCAGTTGTATATATTTCTGTAATAATATATTATAAACAAATATTATAGAAACTAATGACCTTGTGAATAAAAGAGTGTCTTATTTCTATGAAGACTAAGTTGAAGTCTTTTGAAAGGTTATAATAAAGGTAATAAAAATAATCATATTAAATTATGTGTGGGCAAGATGACTACAAAAGATTAGAGAAAATCTTAAATTTTCAAAAGGTTATATACTCTGATTATTGTAAGAATCTTTAGATTTCCATTGTATTTAAAGAAAATACTGAAGCAAACAAGATGTTTTAGGACTTCAACCAGCAGATTCATTCTTTAATTTAAAAAGCCTTTGTTAGATATAATTACACTGGCAAATGTATACATTTTTAGATAAAATTAAAAAAAAGTGTATGTTTTTGATTTTTCCTTTTAACAAACTTTTAAAACTAACTTACTATTAGCTTTGCCCATGTATGCTAAGAGGACTTTTACAATGACAAGTAAGAAGAACACATTGATGATACGTGTTTTGGTTCAGACATTTCCAGAGCCATGGAATAGCATGAAAAAAAAAAAAAAAAAAAAACCTCTTCAAAATAGAATTTTTTCCTTTGAATTGGAGTCAAACTTAGAAGCATCCATCAATGGATGAATGGATAAAGAAAATATGGTATATATACACAATGTAACACTATTCAGTCTTAAAAAAGAAGAAAATTCTGGCATTTGTGACAACATGGATGAACCTGAAGGACATTAGGTTAAGTGAAATAAGCCAGGCATAGAAAGACAAATACTGGCTGGGCATGGTGGCTCATGCCTGTAATCCCAGTACTTTGGGAGGCCGAGGTGGGCAGATCATGAGGTCAGGAGTTGGAGACCAGCCTGGCCAACAAAGTGAAACCCCGTCTGTACTAAAAACTGGGCATGGTGGCGAGTGCCTGTAATTGCAGCCACTTGGGACGCTGAGGCAGGAGAATCACTTGAAACTGGGAGGCGGCAGTTGGAGTGAGCCCAGATCGCGCCGCTGCACTCTAGCCTAGGCAACAAGAGCAAAACTCTGTCAAAAACAAACAAAACAAAACAAAACAAAACAACACAAAGAAAGACAGACAAATATTAGATGATCTCACTCATATGTGGAATCCAGAAAAGTTGAATTCATAGAAGTAGAGAGTACAATGGTGCTTACCAGAGGCTGGAGGGAGGTAGGAGGAATGGGGAGATATTCAAACGGTACGAAGTTTCAGTTAGACAGGAGGAATATGTTTTAGAGATTTATTGTACAGCATGGTGACTTAATTAATAATGCATTGTGTATTTCAAAATTGTTTTAAAAAGTAGATTTTAAATGTTCTTATTGCAAAAGAACAGCACGTGAGGTGATAGATATGTTAATTAACTTGATTTAATTATTCTTATGTGAACCTATATCAAAATAGCACATTGTACCTCATAAAATATATAAAATATTACTCATCAATTAAAGATAGGCTCGAGGAGTTACTGAAAGGCTTTGGTTGATCGTTTTCAGAGTCTTTTCATAATAGTGATCTCATGTGGAATACAGAGGGACTCCTTCAACAGCTCACAGGAAAACAGCTGTGTGATTCACAGGAAGGTAGGTCCTTTTAAGTTTAAAACGGAGTTATGTTGGTGGTGGGTGATTTGTTCTGAACGTAAATCTGGGATTGTTCCTAGATTATTAATTCCTCAATGACAGATGTTTTTGTGTTTCTCTCGGCAAGGGGCAAAAGTGCTAAACGAGAGTCACAAGACTGCCAGGTTTAAGCATTATTAGCTTGACTCACTCAGTGTCACCACTGTCAGCTGGATACAATGGGTAACACCTCTTCTTATATGACAGTCTTGTTTTGGGATTGAGACAATGCAATGGAGATTAACATGCAAGACAGAAAGTCCTATGTACAATGATGTGTTTTATCTGCTGGGACTGGGATGCAGTAGACTTTTGACAACTTTTGTCCACACACGGATTTCAGAGAGGATGTTTCTTTGTTGTGTCCTGTCAACATATATGAGACAAACTGCAGATTCCTCTTAAGGGAGCTGAACATTAATTCATTGATAGCCCACTTTTTTTTTTCCAACACAGTGAGGCACAGTATTATTGTAGGGTATAATAAATTCCTCCTCAAAGATTTTAGCCTGTAAAGTGTTAAGTACAATGAGTTCTGAGATCCTCTCCAAAGAACCAATGTATCTGTATGTTCATCTCCCCTGTTCTTTGTTCTTCATTTTAAAGTTTAACTTCCTCATTCTCTTTGTCTCCTTGCCCCTAGTTTCAGCAAGCAACCCCCTCCTAACCTATATCACCTGCTCCATTCTGAGTCACCCCTGGTCACCTGCTCTGACCTGAGTCTTCTGAGTCACCTGTTCTGTAACTGTCCTTTCCACCAAACTACTCACCCTGCCACTCCAGGTCGTACCTGTACTCTCTTTAAAATAGCCAGTTGGAATTAGCTTAGACTGTGTGGTCCAACCCTAGCCAATAGGGGAACAACACAGCAATAGGGGTTTCCTGCATCAGGGATAAGAACCCCTTCTTCTCCCTTGTTCAGGTGTGCTCTGGCCATTACTCCATTCACGAATGGCACCCTTCTATAGAAGTAAAAATTGCCTTGCTGAGAAAATTAAATTTATGTTCAAGTGCTATTTCTTTTGTGGCACTGCAAATTTGTTTCTAACACTATTTTCTCTAGCTAAAAGAAAGAATAGTCTGAAGTATCGTTACTGCACAAGGGAATCTGCTGCCTCTTGTATCTATGTAAAGTTTTACTTTGCCTTCTGATATGCTGATTGATGTCTAAAAGTTCTTTTCATCTTATTTATTAATGATTTTGTCAAAACTACCTGAAAGTGCATATTCTAAGATATGCAATTGTATCCATTATAACTAGATGGATGATAAAGTCTCATTAAGAGAGACAATTGAAAACATGCTGTCTGGTGTGATAAATACTCTTTTTTTGGAGGCAAGCATTAGCACTGAATTCTTTTTAGGTCTTTTTAGTTTTTTTTCTTTTGCTTAATTTCTGTTAAATAGTGAAATTCTGCTATACATAAAGTATATATTGTAATACGCCTCTCTTCAGGAACCTCTTGCCTACTTCCTTAGCATCTAAAACTATTTCCACCAAAAAGATCAATTGAGATGAGAACATTAATTTATTTAGGGGGATGTATGTCAATGTTGCTCTCATATTAGGTGCTACTATATACTACTGCTTAGGATCATCAAAAAGTGAATTAATAATACTGTAGTTAATATGGGATTTTAGATTCCACCTAAAAACAAAATCTGTTATTTATTGAGAGTTTACAGTGTGCCAGGCTCTAGAACCTAAATAGATAACCTCACTTAACCCATTTATCAACCCTATTAAAGGTAAAGAAAGAGAATTATACAGGTTGTATTTGACTTAAGGTCAAATACATTAAAAAAATTATTATTGCCATTTAAAAAATAGATTTAGGGGAACAAATGCATTTTTGCTACATGGATATATTGTGTAGTGGTGAAGTCTCGGCTTTTGGTGTACCCATCACCTGAATAGTTTACACTATACCCAATAGGTAATTTCTCATCCCTCACACCCCCACCCTCTCACCTTTTGTAGTTTCCAATGCGTATTATTTCACTTGTATGTTCATGTGTGTACACACTGTTTAGTTCCCACTTATAAGGGAGAAAATGTAGTATTTGACTTTCTGTTTGTGAGTTATTTCACTTAAGGTAATGGCCTCCAATTCCATCTATGTTACTGCAAAAGACGCAATTTCTTTTTATGGCTGAGTAGTATATTCCATTGTGTATATGTACCACATTTTCTTTATCCAGCATCCATTGATAGACATTTAGATTAATTCCGTGACTTTGCTATTGTAAATACTGCTGCAATAAACATACATGTGCAGGGGTCTTTTTTTTTTTTTTTTTTTTGAGATGGAGTCTTGCTCTGTTGCCAGGCTGGAGTGCAGTGGTGCAATCTCAGTTCACTGCAACCTCCGCCTCCCACATTCAAGCGATTCTCCTGCCTCAGCCTCCCAAGTAGCTGGGACTAGAGGCACACGCCACAATGCCCAGCTAATTTTTGTATTTTTAGTAGAGATGGGGTTTTACCATGTTGGCCAGGATGGTGTTGATTTCTTGACCTTGTGATCCACCTGCCTTAGCTTCCCAAAGTGCTGGGATTGCAGCTGTGAGCCACCATGCCCAGCCAGGGGTCTTTTTAATACAATGATTTAGTTTCTTTTGGGTAGATACCCATAGTGGGATTGTTGGATCACATGGTAATTCTATTTTTAGTTCTTTGAGAAATCTCCACTGTTTTCCATAGGGGTTGAACTAATTTACATTCTCACTGACAGTGTATAAGCATTCCCTTTTCTCCTCAACCTCACCAATATCTGTTGTTTTTTGACTTTTTAATAGTAGCCATTCTGAGTGGTTTAAATTGGTGTGTCACTGTGGTTTTAATTTGTGTTTCTCTGATGATGAGTGATGTTGAGCATTTTTTCGTATGTTTGTTGCTGCTTGTATGTCTCCTTTTGAAAAATTTCTGATTGCATTCTTTGCCCACTAGAGTAGAAGGTCCCCAAGCCTCAGACCATGGACTGGTCCATGGCCTGTTAGGAATCAGGCTGCACAGCAGGAGGTGAGTGGCCGGCAAGCAAGCGAAGCTTCATCTGTATTTACAGCTGCTCCCCATCACTCACATTACCTCCTGAGCTCCGCCTCCTGTCGGATCAGCAGTGGCATTATATTCTCTTAGGAGCATGAACCCTATTGTGAACTGTGCATGCAAAGGATCTAGGTTGCACGCTGCTTATGAGAATCTAATGCCTGATGATCTGTCACTGTCTTCCATCACCCACAGATGAGACCATCTAGTTGCAGGAAAACAAGCTCAGAACTCCCACTGATTCTACATTACGGTGAGTTGTATAATTGTTTCATTATATATATTATGATGTATTAATAATAAAGTGCACACTAGATGTAATGTGCTTGAATAATCCCCAAACCATCACTTACTGCCCTGGTCCATGGAAAAATTGTCTTCCACGAAACCAGTCCCTGGTGCCAAAAAGACTGGGGACTACTGCACTAGAGAATTAACATCGATTTGAATCCAGGACTGAATCTTAAGAATGGCCTTTTAACCTAGTGGTTTCAATCCTGGCTGTACAGGAGAATTACCCAAGACACTTTAGGAAAATTTTCAGGTCTGGGTAACATACCCTGAAATTATGAATTGATTTTAGATGAGGCACGTGATTCCAACATGCAGTAAGGGTTAAAACTACAGATTAATTAATGCCTTTGATTCCCTCAAATTGATGACAGATAGGAAATACTGTCCACTTTTTCCTCCTCTCTGTGTCATCATTTCAGCAATTATGAAGAGAGCTGCAGTCGATGCTTTTTTTTCTGATTCCCACATGTAGTCTATGCCTTAGAAGGAGCTTGTTAGCAAATTGTACAAGTAGAGCAGTAGCAAAGAAATCCATTGAACATAAGATAACAAAAATCATATTATTTGAACTTAATACTTATTAACCTAAGTAGATACAGTAAGTAAAAATTTTAGCAAGCCAGAGGCTGGTATGAACTTCTATCAATTTTCTCGGTGAGGATTAATTTAAAAAATATATAAAGTCGATTGGTCATTACTTTAACTTAAGCTAAACCTTGCTTAAAACATCTGCTAGAGAATTAACAGGACCATCCTTTCGGAGTTGCTCAAGATTGGCTGAAGGAAGCAAAGCTACATTTCTTGGTAAGAGTATTAAGATGTGTCATTTCAGTGGTTTTAGAGCTCAGCATATCTAATCCACAAAAGCACCTGAATAAGGAATGTTTGATTTGCCTCTCTGTCCTCAATGTTCTGTTATCTCAAGTTATTTGTTTTCCTGATATGTTAAAATGCTCACACTGTTTTAACCCCCACAAATAGATACGTGAATTTGTAGAATATGAAATTTTATCCTGATTTTCATGTGGAGTGAATGGTTTATCTACCACATGAGAAATATGCCTGACAGAATTTTCTTGCTTCTGCTACTGCATACTTACTGACTCTTGTCTGGTAGACTTATTTGTTCTTACTTATGAATTAAGTCTGCCCAGAGTTTGAACCTCGTGTTGTACTGGGCAGGGAATAGAGTCCTTGCCTTAGGGAAGAAAGTACTCTTTTTATGCCTCGGTTCCTTTTTTCAGGTGTCCTGGGTGCTGCTACCTGGTACCTAGTGGCAGAACCCCATGCCATGGTTCATGTGGGTCCCAGAACCCTGAGACGAATTGGAAACCCATCATCATTCTTTCTTTCCCTTCGGTTCTTACAGGCTTTGGATATCTGTACGAATTCCTGACCCTACCACCCCATTCCCAACCTCGTTAACTAGATTCAAGGTCCAGATGTCTTCTGGATTCCACTAGCCAATGAACTCGCATCATTCGTGTTTTTCTCTGTATTATTGACCATCTTATCCAGACTCTTAATACCTGCAAGGGCTTCCCTCCCCCACAACACCCACCTTACTAATTGGATTCATAGTACTAGAGAACCCAAGGCTGGCCTATTAGGGAGACAAGTTTTCTGATAACTGTCAACTCTGGCATTTTTGTTGATAATATTTTCAACGCTGAGGTGACATATGTTTACATTCTAAGGTTATAATCTCTGGCTTCTACTTGCATAACATAAAGGGAATAGATTTCTAACAGCAGCAAAGTTACTATAAATTTTTTATTAGAAATTCTTGATCATTTTGTAATTACCTTTTAGCCCAGTGTAATTAATTTTTTCATTACATTTCTTTGTTCAAAATCAAGAGATCAAAAGTAAAAGAAAAAATAATATTAAGAGTGAAGCAACATGACACAAAAAATATATTAAAGTGTAATCAAAGCATTTTAATTAAAAAAATGACTTTTTAAGGCCTAATTTTAGCTTTTTCATTTCACCAGGCCACATTGTGATAATTATTTTAGACGCCACGTCACAGGTCAAGTATAACAAAAAATACCAAGTGCTTATTTAATAATTCATTCAGAAGTATATAAACATCTAACATAAAGCTCAAGCTTTTCTCTGTGGTTCCACCTCTTAAAAAATAAATTTATCCCAAACGTCTATAAAATCTGTTCTTTCCACTTTCTTCCTTGACCCAACATAGAAAAATGGGTTGCTTCTTTTTTTTTTTTTTCGTAGAAAATACTGTGAAAAGCCAGGTAATATAATATAAACTGAAAGTTTTTGCTGCCTAAGTTTTTCTTAGTAATGGAATTTGGTTTCTGTATATTGCTTTTCAGCACATTTTGTGTTTACAAATTTTGGGGATTTGAAGGAAATAATACATTTATATTTTCCATCATATTTCTCATTCCCCCCCCCTTTTCTGGGAAATTTCTATGACTTCATAACTTTTTTAATTATTATAATTATTATTTTGGAGAAGAGACAATTATTGTGTGCTGACTTTTTAGTTCTTGTTTTAGAGATACAATTTTTAATGCATCTGCAAAAATTAGTTAAAAAATTTTTAAAGTAGTGAATGCTTTTTGCCTTTTTGCTTTTTTGTTTCTGTTTTGGGGGCTAGTTATTTTCGTTCGTTGGGTTGCTTGTCATCAAGAGGGCCTTAAAGTTCCCCTCAGCTTGACTCAACTTTAGACATGCTTCTTGCCTTTAGGCATGCTTCTTGCCTTTAGGCCTCTAAACTCACTTTTCTTACTGCATTTACTTTAGAAAACTAGCAATTATAAATTCTTTCCCTGTTCCTTTGAGATGCAAATCTTTAAAAAAGCTTCATATCACTTTTATAACCCAGGACTGTTCCTCTCAAGAACCTGGGAGCCAGCCCTTTGAAATGTAATCATCAAGAAAGATAGTGCCCCTATCTCCCAGTCTCAGTGGTTGGGGAAGAGTCTAATTCTGATAGACACCTTGCTCCAAGTTGTAAAACCACCTCTTGTCATGAAGATAGAACAGGATGTTTACCTTTTCTCTGGGTAAGGTCAATTAGCAACACAGATCCCTCTATCCCAGCTCTCCTGCACCCTTTGTTTTAGTAATGTTGAGTTCAGACTAAGCTGAGCTCTCTCCCCTATTGCAATATCCTTGAATAAAGTCTTCCTTACTTGTTTAACATGATCTGGTGCTATTTTCACATTGACAAACTGTTTTTTAATCAGTATATTGTTAAAACCAGCTTTAATTGAGGTATCACTTATATACCATAAATAGCATTTATCCACCTTCAGTGTCAAATTTAATGTTTTTAAATAACTTCCCAACTTTGTGCAGGCAGCCTGCACCACAATTCAGTTTTAGAACATTTTTATCATCCCCAAACAGGTCCCTTTTTCCAATTTCCAGTCAATCTATGATAGTCTATTATTTTTATGCTTTTGTTTTTCTTTATATGTCTGGGAATTCTTGGTTGTTATTTTTTACTTAAATGGGAAGAGGTAATATTCCAGGTACCTGGTGTGGATTTCATTTGTCTTGCTTCCCTGACTGGGAAGTCTGATGGACAGTTCTCTGTAAGTGGGTAGGGCTTGTCACCTGGCAAGGTTTTCTTCAGGTTGAGCAGGTGGGAAGCCAGCTATAAAGTTGTAGGACTTGAAATGCTTTCTTTTGGTCATCAGCACTTTGTACTAGCAACATCTAGTTTTTCCCAGGAAAATGTTCATTTTTAACATCAATTGTTCTTTTACCTGGGATATAGAAGGAAGTGTGTGTGTGTGTGTGTGTGTGTGTGTGTGTGTGAGAGAGAGAGAGAGAGAGAGAGAGAGAGAAACCATGGGTAAGAACAGGTAAGAACTGGTACAATTGTTCTGAGGACATAATTTCAATTACTTCACCTGTTTTCAGTCTAACTTTATGCTCACAGCTGATCAGTGGTTGCACCAGGAAAATCAGCTACCACCTCTATGCAACTCCCTTTCACATATATTTGATCTGAGACCTTCAGATCTTTTCCCCCACTCATTTGTTTGTTTTTGTTTTATTTTATTAATGTTAATTGAGCAATAAAAATTGTATTTATTTTTCATGGACACATACTGCTTTGAAATATGTACACTTTTAAATACATGTATACAATATAATGTATACATTGTAAAATGGCTAAATTGAGCTAATACGCATAAGCATTACCTCACATACTTTCATTTGTTTTTTGTGGTGAGAACACTTAAAATCTGCTTTTTTGGCAACTTTCAAAATTAAAAAAAAATCAATCAATACTCTTCATTCTACCCCATCTTCCAGAAGTGTGTAAAAATCTCCAGCCTGTGGATGCGGCCACCTGTTTTCTTTACTGTCATAATTTACTTTTTTATATTCCTTTACTGTAACTTTAGAATTTTCTCAAGAAAAGTCAGGAGGCAACTGCATGTATTACTACAGTAAGAATTAAAGAAAGAGGAAAGAAACATGAAAGGTGGCTTGCCAGTCAAGACAGGTTTATTTTGGAGAAAACAAACCTGAGAGGAGCTTCTTGCCAAGGTAGGTCAGAGGCACACTCTTTTACAGACTGAGAGTTTTTAAGGCTGCAGGGTGGGAGAGTTTATCATAGGCTTGGACTGCTTCTGTGTCCCTTTGTTGTGCTTCTTTGGGAGAGGGAGTTGTGTGTCTGTTCCCATACACTTTTCTGCAGCTGCAGGCATACCCCTGAGTCTGCTTTTAGCTTCCCTATTTCAGTGCACCTGAAAGGAAAGGAATGTGCTTATTAAGGCCCACTGTTTTGCTGGGGTCCATTGTATGAGGGTGAAGTTTGGCAGTTACTCAAGAGACTTTCCCCCACCTCCCTCTGTGCCCGAGCTGTCTTATCTGTGTTTTACTGTCTGTTCTTTCTGGCTGCTTGTAGTTAGAAGAGAAGTGATATCCTTGTAATGCATGAGACTAGAAAGGGAGCTATAACTTAAAGTGGTGGTGTTTGTCCAAGATGACGGTTCTCCTGCTCTGTCAACTACCATCTTGAATTGCAGCTCAGTTTTCTTATAAGAAATAATACCAAAGTTGGATTGTAGTTATTTCAGTAGAACTATATCTGTCCAGTAATATAGTGGCTAGGCAGTTTGCTGAAAGAATGAAAAAAATACAAATACATTTCCTTAAAAGCATGGCAGAGATGACAAGATAATACAAAATTTTAGGGCCAAAGTCTAATTGAAGACAGAAACCCAGGGAGATAAGCATAGCAATAGAGTTGTTTTTGCCATAAGGGGACTTGCCAAAACCTTGATTTTTCTAATCTAGTAGAGTATGGGATCAAAAGAACAGAATTCCCTCAAAAGACAAAGACCAGAGTTCTCCTAAGTTGAGGAGTTTGATAGGAGAACTCCAGAAAGCTGAACTCAAATGGCATTTGCCTCATTCTGTGAGGAACAAGAGGAAAATCTCCCTTTCTACCTTCCCTACCTTAAAGAGATTATAGGAATTTCGTCTTGATGCTTTAAAGAGTGGGAGTGGGATAGGAAATTCAACTGAAGACTTGTAACTGTAAGCCAGCATGGATTTGGTATCCAAAGATGTATATTTTGGATTGTTCATAAAATCCCAAATCATACATTTATTTTATTTCATTGATTCTATCATGCATTTAATCCTCCCTGCCCCTACATTTTAACATCAAAATGTACCTGAGGATCAACGACATCTTAGATTCAGTGAAATACTAGAGTGTAAAATTTCGTGGTGCAGGTGTAGGCAAACCTTATCTGGAGTAGTACAACTTCATCATCATCTCAGAGAATTCCCACAAATAATTTTTCAGGAAAATGAGTAGCTCCCTATAAACAATTACTGACCATACAAAAAATGAAGTATACTACGTGTGGTAGCCAGCAGAACAAAACAGCCAGGAGGAACATATTCTTTAAATTCATTAGGCTATTAGAAATTGACAGATTAAAAGAGGAAGACACTTTTGATAAGTATGTTTAAATAAATGATAGACAAGTCTGAGAATATCTTCAGATAGGAAATTATATGTATAAAGACCTAACAGTTTGAAAATGAGTCAAGTAGATAATCCATAAATGATGTGAATTTCTAAATTTACATAGAGTAGTGGTTTTCATTTTCCCCTTAATGATGAGAAAATGAGATGGTTATGTTTCCCATTCTGTATATTTGTGACTTCCTAAATTTACGGTACAAGATCTGAGGATTTTTGCCTTTTGAAGACAACTTTTCTATACATTTCATGTATGTTAGTAACTGTAACAAAATCCCTCTCTGTAGAAGGCTTTATTATTTCTTACTCTTCTGTGGAAAAAAATACTTTATATATTTTAGGGTCATATCTTCACTATGGGCTGTTTTGCTCATTTTTCTGTATTCTTATCTACCTCTGAAGTATGAAAAATGACCTTGTGACTTGTTAGTTGAGATTCTGGAAAGCATTGTTTCTTCCGTAAAGGAAATATTGTTGACTAAGCATAATATAGATTATACTCTGCCTATGTTATACATAGACCCTCAACCCACTAACCTAGAAATGTGCACACATTGCATGGGAGGTGATATTCATAGCTGCGCTTTGAGGATGGTGCTGGTAGCACCACTGGTTATAACATAAAAATAAAGGAGGCTTCTTCTCATGGGTGTCAGTTTTCTTCATTTGAAACTCCAGCCCTAGAGAATTCATGCCTTTGTACAAAAATGTGAGTTGGTGATACACTGGCTGTTAGGTAGATTCAGTACAGAACAATTATGCACCTATTGTACTGCTGGTGTTTTAGTAGCAGCATTTTGCATATGAACTATAGCACTTCAAAGAAATCGTTTTGATTTACTTTCATTTCTGACTCCTTTTGTACTTGCAAATAATACAAAAAATGAGAAATCTCTGAAAATTTGTTTTTGTCATCAAGGACATTTCTACATGTTGTATTTTGCAGAAATAACTTTTTACACATATCTGTTTCTGTAGAGGCAAACGTCTTTGTAATCTTCTTTCAGTTGAGGGATATGATTTGTTTTCATACCTTCCCTGTCAGTAACTGCTCCAGCAAAACAGTATGAGTCAAAATCATTCCCTGAAACTCTTTTTTTTCCCCCTTAGGCATTGATGGGTGAATGTGAAAATTGTACAACTCTGATGGCTGCTAAATCTCTTTGCCTTTCTAAATGACAAGGGATAAATGGAATTTGTTTTTCCCTTAATTTGACAGCATTTCCTTGTCAAAGGGTTCCTTCTTAGATAATTTGATAATTAGGTGACAATTACAGCAGATTTTTAAAAAATTTTCTTTGGGAATTTCCGAAGTTTCAAAGTCATGTCATCCACCATAATCACATAAAGACACATAAAGCGGCTGGGAGAATGAAGGATGGATGAGCTATTATAGCTCATTAATACTATGCTTTATATCCAATCAACTGAAGCCACAAGGCCAAAGATAGACATTGCTGCTTACATGAATATTTGTGAAGATGGAATACCCTAAATCAGGGTTTATCAACAGTGGTGCTACTGACATTTTGGACTGGATGCTTCTTCATTTTGGGAAGCTATCTTGTCCACTGTGGGATGTTTAGCAGCATTCCTGGCCTCTAACCAATAGATTCCCTCATTTGTGACACTCAAAAAGCTTCTGGACATTGCCAAATATTCCCAGGGGTGAGGGTGAGGGGACAAAAATTGTGCCTGGTTGAGAACCACTGCTCTATGTCACTGTCATCAATCCTGGTCTTATGTAAGCTTGGGAAGAGAGACACAGAGAGACATCAAGAACAATAGTCCATGTGATTTTAGTGGGCCCGGCTGAGATCAATGACTTCCTGATGTGTCAGCTTCATCTTGTTATATCTTTTGTGCTAACAAATTTCTCGTTTCCTCCTGTAGTTTTCTGTTTCCTTTGAAGGGAAGCAGAATTTTTTAACAACAGAAAGTGAAGTAGCGAAGTTTTTTTTTTTTTTTTTCTTTGAGAGGGAGTCTCCCTTTGTCCCCCAGGCTGGAGTGCAGTGGGGCCATCTCAGCTCACTTTAAGCTGCGCCTCCCGGGTTTACGCCATTCTCCTGCCTCAGCCTCCTGAGTAGCTGGGACTACAGGCGCCCGCCACCACGCCCTGCTAATTTTTTGTATTTTTAGTAGAGATGGGGTTTCACCGTGTTAGCCAGGATGGTCTTGATGTCCTGACCTCATGATCCGCCCGCCTCGGCTTCCCAAAGTGCTGGGATTACAGGCGTGAGAAGCAGCGAAGTTTTGAGGGTTGCTCTTCATTTAATTGTGAGTCAAAGAGGCAGCATAGAGAGGAAATGTGAAGGTTAAGAGCTAAGGATGTGGATTCTGGAGCCAGACTGCCTAGTTTGGAAGCCAGCTCCCCACGTTAGCTGGCTGATCTTGGCAAAGCATTCACATTTCCCTTGCCTCTACTAATAACACAGGGATAATGACAGAGTCAGTTTAAGGAGTTGTTGTGAGGACTAAATGGGATAATATGTATAAAATGCTTAGTGCATAGAAATGGTAGTAGATAAGTATTAAAGGAGATAAAAAGGTATATTTCCAGAAGAAAAAGGATACTTAAGTTGATTAGGAATTTTGTAGTCTGTAACTTCATTAACATAATCAACCCATTCCACCTTAACAAGCTCTTTGACAATGACTGATTTAATGTTACCATTATAGCAAAGGTGCATCACAAATGAAGTTTGATGTGCCTTAAGTGAATCCACGATTCTTAAAACACAAAAAAGTGATTACTTACAGTTTCCTGATGTAAAATAGTTGACTCATAACTGGAAGTTAGTCCTATCCTCAAACACAATTAGATAAGGATTATGATTGAAAATCTGTCTTCACTTGCTGTAACCATCAAACCTGCACTGTATCTTAGTCTTAACCCAGAGATGACAAATACTTTTTAGGCCCGGATGCAGGCAGGTGAGCCCCAAAGTGGAATTTAGCTCATGAGTGTACTTGGTTTTGCCCAGGAAAGAATTCAAGGACAAGACAGAGGTGGAAGAAAACAGCTTTACTTCAGAGGCAGTGCTACAGCTCTAGCAGTGGGTTCTATGGCTGCTCTTGCAGGGCAGGGTTACCCTTTAGGCAGACACTATCAACTCAGGGCAGTTTTACAGTCATATTTATATACACTCTTAATTGCATGCAGATTAAGGAGTGGTTTATGCAGAAATTTCTAGGGAAGGGGTAGCACCTTTGGGTCATTGGGTCATTGCCTCAGAAAGAAGTGAGAACCATGGGGTGTTGCCATGGCAACAGTAAATTGACATGGCACACTGTTGGACGTCTCTGATCGAAAGCTGCTTTGCGCAGACCCTGTTTTAGCTAGTCCTCAATCTGTTCCGTGTCCAAGCCCCACCCCTGGAGTCAAATCCCACCTACTACCTCAGCCCTTGCATTTATTAGGTTGGTACAAAGGTTGTTGTAGTTTTTGCCATTCATAGCAAAAACCGCAATTACTTTTGCAGCAACCTATAGTTACAAGTATCTGGCCAGGACATCCAAACCAAAGGAACACAGCACACATATCTGAAAGCTAGAGGGGGCCATCC